CTTTTGGTCGCCGCTTGGGGGCTCCTTGGGCCTGTTGGGGGTATCTGGAGACTCCTTTGGGGACTCTTCGTCCGTCTGAGGGTGTTTCTGGCGCGTCTGACTCGTTTTTGAAGCCGTCTTGGGGTCCTCTTTGGGCCGACTTGGGGCCGTCTTGGGACGCTTCAGGGCCGTCTTGGAGGCCGTCTTGGGGGCCTCGTGGGCCGCCACGGGGGCCATCTCGGAGACCTCTTGGGTGTTCTTGGGCCCAGTTTGGTGGACTCTGGGGCCGTCTTGGGCCGTCAGGAACCTGAACATGAGACGCTGAACTCCGTCAACGCTTTTTGGCCTCGTCGGGACTTTTTGAAGTTCCTCTTGGAGACCTCTTCGGCGGTCTTGGAGGCCGTCTGAGGGCAATCTTGGGGGCATCTCCCTGCCCGTCTTGACATCTTAGGGCCATCTTGGGCTCTGGGCCGTCGTAGCCGTCTTGGGGACCATCTTGGCCGTCTAGGAGGCCATCTTGGGGCCGTCTGGAGCGGGAAGACCGACGACCCGGGAAGTTTTACGGGCCCTCGTGAGTGCGATTGGCTCGGACGTTGGGTTTTCTTCGCGCATCTCCGCGCATCCGCACTTCCTTCCGGGGCGGCAGGTGGGTGGGGCCGACGGCCTCCGGGGCATTTTTTTTCCCAACCCTTCTTGGTTGGGTATTCGTTTTGAATAGGGGTGTGTGGTCGCGTCCTCCTCCCGCCCCCCCCCTGTGGTCGCCGTCCCTGGGGGGCTGCGACCTGCGAAACCGTCGCCACTTTCGAGGCATTTTCTTTTTTTTGCAGCGGGAGCCTGCCCGACGTCCGGCACGCTGTGCACCCCCGCGGCCCGCCGGCGGGGGGCGGCGGGTCACGGAGAGCGCGCGCAGCGCCGCGATCCGCTGGCCCTTGGCATCGCTCGGACGTGTGCATGTTTGCTCCGAGGGCCGTCCCGGACCATCGAGCAAAAGATAGCACGCGCGAGGCCGAGGCATGCGCGGGGAATGGGCGTCCGAGCGACGGCAAGAGCCAGAACGTCAGACAGAAGGGGGCAGTGCGATCCGCCAGCCAGAACACAAAACGCCTTCCTCCTCCTTCCTCCTCCTCCTTCCTCCTCCTCCTCCTCCTCCTCCTCCTCCTCCTCCTCCTCCTCCTCCTCCTCCTCCTCCTCCTCCTCCTCCTCCCTCCCTCCTCCCCCCTCCTCCTCCTCCTCCTCCTCCTCCTCTCCTCCTCCTCCTCCTCCTCCTCCTCCTCCTCCTCCTCCTCCTCCTCCTCCTCCTCCTCCTCCTCCTCCTCCTCCCCTCCCCTCCCCCTCCTCCTCCTCCTCCTCCCTCCTCCTCCTCCTCCTCCTCCTCCTCCTCCTCCTCCTCCTCCTCCTCTCCTCCTCCTCCTCCTCCTCCTCCTCCTCCTCCTCCTCCTCCTCCTCCTCCTCCTCCTCCTCCCCTCCCCCCCCCCTCCCCCTCCCCCCTCCCCCCTCCCCCTCCCCCTCCTGCGAGGTTGGGGGAGTGCGAGGGGATGGGCTTCGGCGGGCCCAGACAGGATGGCTCCTGTCCAGGCCGCGCTCGGCCCCCGGGCGGCCCAGGGCGGTCCACAGAGCGGCTCGGAGGGCCCCGGCACGGCCAGGGCAGCCCCCGTGGCGCCCAGGCTACGCCGCCGCGACGGCCTCGGGGAGGCCCAGGGTCTGAAAGATACGCAGGAGCAAGCTTGAGCAGCAGCTGTCTCCTGCCCGTCTGCCCTGTCCGTGCCACCGCCACCCTCGGCTCAAGGCGAGGGAGGGCGGGACTCTTTCTGACAGAGCCTGGCCGTGCCAGGCAGACCGCGCAGACTACAGCGCGGCCGTTCATATCGTGGACAAAAGGTGTCCTCCGACAATTATCAATATAATTGACATCGACACATACTTTCTCTCGCTCTTCCTCACCGTCACCAGCGTGAACGATCGTGAGGACGAGCTCTCGTATTCAGATTGGTAGCGGAGCCTGTGGTCTCCGACAACCACGGGCTCCAACCGGTCTCGGCCTGAATGGCGACTACGGCCGCCAGCGGGCCACCTACGACGCGCGTCGACGTCCCCTCATGGAATGGCGAGGCTGACAAGTTGACGAGCTACAGGTTTGAGGTCTCCATGTTTACCAAGAGCATCAAGACTGCGGAGCGCTACGTGTGCGGCCCGCAGCTGGTGCGCGCCCTCGGGGCGCGAGTCCGGACGACGGTGGAGAGCTGCCCGGACATCGACACGGTCGACGAGATCGACAAGGATGGCGTTTTGATTGGTTGGAACAAAGTGTTCCAGTACGTATTGGAGAAGCTGGACTTCACCAGCCTGAACGACACGGGCCTACTCGCGGAGGAGTTTTTCTTGAAGGTCAGCCGGAACTCAGGCGAGACCTTCCAAGACTGGGCCGCCAGATTTGAGAAGAAGGAGCGTGAGCTGTTGGCGCAGCTTCAAGTCATTGATTCAAGCGTGACGGAAGTGATTGCGAAGCCTCTTCGGACATGGTGGTTCCTTCGGAAGTCCAAGCTATCCCCTGTTCAACGTGGAGAGATCACCGCCACGGCAGGTGGCGACCTCAACTTCGGCAAGACATACAAGGCCTTGCTCACGCGTTTCCCGGCGGAGGCGCTGGCGGAGCTCGACGGCAAGCAGCACCGTAAGGCCTTCTATGAGGACACGCACGTCGACGACGTTGAGGACGAGACTGGTGGAGAAGATATTGATTACACAGAGGTTGTCGAGCAGCTGATCACCCTCGCTGAAGAGGATGAAGATGAAGAGCCAGCTGACGACAACCCAGCGGACAACGAGGTGTTCGCAGAGTTCAAGCAGGTGGGCCGGAGCTTCAAGGACGCTCGCGACCTGATCCGACGGCTTCGAGTATCCTGCGACTACTACCCGGTCGTGTCGCTCAAGGACCCCGATCGTGTGGCACCGCCTCCGAACCCGGGACGAGGTTTCCAGCGTGGCCGGGGCAAGAACGGTCGAGGCCGCGCTCGCTTCGACACGGGCAAGGGACGTGACATGTCCAAGATGAAGTGCATCGCGTGCGGCGAATATGGTCACCGAGCGGCGGACTGCAACGAGAGGTTCAAGAAAGACACTACGAGAGATGGAGCTCGCGGGACTACTCACAACGGCTTCGTCCTGTCCGCCCTCGACGAGTACCTCTACCTCCTGGAGCGCGACGGCATCTGGGCGATCCTCGACATCGGGGCCACGAAGAGCCTCGGCGGCCTCGAGAGCGTCGAGAACCTCATGTACGAGATGCTGGACCAGCACGGCCAGGAGTTCCAGACGACACAGGACGAGTGCTCATTCACCTTCGGCGACGGCCTCCAGAAGAGCTCGATGGGCACGGTGAAGGGGAACGTGTTCCTCGGCGGGGACCTGACCGAAGTTAAGCTGTCGGTGATGCCGAACCGCGTGCCGATCCTCCTGGGCATGGACATTCTGACTGACTCGCTGAAGGTTGTGGTCGACTGCGGCCGGAACTGGATCGGCCTTCCGACCATGGGCAACAAGGTGTTCTTCTGCGAGCGCCTCTCGAGCAACCATCTGGCCGTCAACCTGACGACGCCGCAGTGGTGGAAGGAGGTGCCGCTTTCCTTGCCGAGTGCCGGGTGCCTGACGTCCGAAGCGACGGCACCCGATGTTCTGGTCGAGGAGCTGCCCGAGGAGGCCGCTCCGTGCAGCTGCTGCCCTGCGGTGCGCTAGGGACAGCGCCCCCTGATGATGGCAGCAGAAGAGAAGTTATCTCGATTGTCAACTTCATCATCGGGGGGGCCACGCCGACTCGGTCACCGCGAGTTCGAAACACCTACCAGAGCGACGGAAACCTCGGCGGCGCGGACACCTACCAGAGCGACGGAAACTGCGACACGGAGCGGATCGGCTCGAGCGACGGAAACCTCGATTTCGTTCGGACGGACGGTCAGGTCATCCGACCGGCTCTCTTCATCATCACCGTCGATCGGGACATCACCACAGTCAAGAGGACCGTTAGCAAGCAAGCCTCAGGATCAAAATATGGAGAAGCAAAGCGATGAGCCAGCACAATACCATCGGTGTTCATCATCATGCTGTTCGCAGCCACCTTCGGCTCAGTTCATCAACTCGGCAATAGCCACAGCCAGCAGTCTCTCACGACCTCCATATTCTTCCCAGGCAGCCACTGGCCGCTTGGATGACATGCAGCGACGGTTCTTTGGCTGGGCAATCCTCGGAGCAACAGCCACCACCTGTGCCTGCGGCCCGCCCCGAGTGAAGCCGCCCCCGCACGAGGGGATAGACAACTTCGGCTCCAGCGACCCCGACGCCAGCATCAGCAACAACACCAGCTATTCCGGCTCCACCAGCGAAGTGGTACAACACCGCAGGGAAGGGCGGCTGCTGCGGAGCTCTGGGGAAGACCAAACGCAGGTGCAGCTGCTTCGGGGGCAAGAGCCACCAGTGCCTCAGGACCCCACAGCAGGGAGCACCCGGGACACCAGGAGCGGCGTCAACAGCGACAGCCAGCAGCGCCCCACCGAGCCCAGCGGGGGCTCAGCCAGTGACGAGACCTCCGAAGCCCGCGTGCTCTTGCTGCGGGACCCTCGGGAAGAAGATTCGGGGGTGCAGCTGCCGCGGAGGCAAGAGCCACACGTGTACGAAGGCGACGGAGGTGACCATCCGGGAGCAGGCAGTGGCTCTACGCTGGCGGCGCCTGTCCTACAAGCTGAACTCCCCGGAGGTGCAGGGGGGCTGGAAGTTCACTCCGGAGATGCTCGACGACTCGGTACTGCCGGAGATGGACTCGAAGAGGAAACGCTGAAGCATCTCGACGACCAGGATCTCAAGATGTTCTACGAGAGCCACGACAAGGTCCTGGACGAGATCTACCAGACCATCGCCGAGGACCTGACGGAGCTCGGCAGGCCCTACCGCATCGACCTGATGGAGGTGTGCTGTCCGGAGGACTCGAGCCTCAGCAAGGCCGTGCAGGATCAGGGAGGCAAAGTGTTCAGGTGCGGCCTCTTCAATGGGATCGACATGGGAACGGCAACCGGGCTTCGACGCGCACTTCACCTTCTCCGACGACTCCGACCGCGCCGCTTGGTTCTCAGCCCGCCATGTACAGCAGACTGCCCGATCCAGAATCTCAACCAGAAGACAGCTCAGCAGAAGGCCACGTATCTGGCGAAGGTGCGCAAGGCCCGACGGATCCAGCGGAACTGCAAGAGCCTCTGGGAAGACTCGAAGAAGATTCACGACTGCCACACCGAGCTCGAACAGCCAGCTGCCAGCCGAAGCTGGACCAGGTCGCCCTCGATCAAGGCGATGCGCGACCAGATGCACGAGACGATCGTCCATGGCTGTGCGTATGGACTTCGCGAAGATCGTTCCGGCCTGCTGATGGGGAAGGCATGGCGCATATGCTCGACAGACCCGGAGTTCGGCGCTAAGCTCGGCAGGACGTGCTCCAACCGCCCTGGCAGGGGCGACAACCACGCACGCCGCCCCATCGAGGACGGACAGGTGGTGGCCCAGACGGCCTTTTACCCACCAGCACTGTGTAAGGCCTGGGCAAAACATATCCTGAAGACGAACACCAGCGCGAGGTACGGCAAGGATATCTTCACCAGCTTGGAACAGATCCCAGAAGACGCTGAAGAGGAGATGGAGGAGACCCTCGACGAGGACCTCTCGCAGGATAACCCCGAGGCCATGGACGACGAGTCGGTCATGAAGGGCCTGGGCATCTCCGAGACACCGACCAAGAAGGAGGAGCTGGAGATAGAGCAACGGCTGACGCGGCTCCACCGCAACCTCGGCCACCCGAGCAACAAGACGCTGTACAAGATCCTCAAGGCATCGGGAGCACCTCTACAGGCCCTCCGAGCAGCTCTTCGTCTCCAGTGTCACGCATGCCATGCGGGACAACTACCAAAAGCCGTCAGGGTCGCCTCGGGCATCGAGTTGCCAGGCGCCCTAGAGGTGTTGGCCTCCGACGGTCTCGAGTGGCTCTCGCCGAAGCAAGACTCTTTCCTGATGACGTTGAATATCGATGAGGGATCCGGGCTCACCAGTGTCACCTATCATGGACAGAAGGGAGAGCGCAATGGTAACATATCGACTCAGGAGGTGATTTCAACATGGAATGACTGGTGCGGGCATTACCGCCGCCCCAGCCTTCTCCGTTTAGACCCCGAAGGTTGTCATCGGTCACAAGCAGTGGCCAGGTGGTGTTCGGACCGCGGCATCGAGCTGTGGATTGCCCCGGGCGAGGCCCACTGTCTGATGGGCAAAGTCGAGAGGCGCATCCAGCTGTTCAAGCGATTGATGACGAAGCTGGCAACGCTGGACCCCGACTGCCCGGTCGAGGAGTTGGTGTCCTGGGCCGTGAGCGCGATCAACAGCATGGACAAGGTCGGCAACCACTCCCCGTTCGAGCACGTGATGGGCGTCTCTGGGATGCCGGCCTCGAGCAACCCGTTCGCCATCATTGACGGGGACACCGGGGAGACTCAGGAGCAGAGGCGCCTCCTCGCGCGCAAAAGCTTCCTGGAAGTAGAGTATGCTGAGCGTCGGCGACACGCCGAACAGGCCCGCAACCGGGTCTATCAGACCTGGAATCCGGGGGACCTCGTCTACTTCTGGCGCAAAGGGAAAGGCCTTGACCCTCGCCCTGGGAAGAAGGGCGGATGGTACGGCCCTGCTCGTGTCCTTGCTCAGGAGAAACGACACGTGGACGGGCGCGCCCGTCCGACCTCGGTCATCTGGATCTCCCACGGGAGCGTGCTCATCAGGTGCGCCCCGGAGCAGCTGCGCGTCGCCTCGGAGGCAGAGAAGATGATCGTCGAATTGCAGCGGCAGAGCAACCTTGGCAAGACCATGACGGAGATCTTGGAGACAGCCAAGGGCGGTACCTATGAAGACCTTCTCGGACAAAATCCTCCAGACCTCCGAGAATACGAGCATCCACCGCAGCCGACGATGGCGATCCCCGCGACCGAGGGCCAGACTCTCGAGAACAACAGCGAGGCGGGGCTCCCCTCGGGCGCCGACAACGACACACCCGGGGCCCCTGACTCCTCCAGGCCACCAACACCAAGCTCAGCGACGCAACCTGAAGTGGAACCGAGTGAACCAGATGTCCGACGGTCTCGGTCACCACCAGCTCGTGCAGCTGACCGGTCAGCAGCCCCATCACGAACGCCAGGGAAAGCACCTACCTCAGCGGCAGTCAGGACGGAGTCTCGAACAGCATCGCGTCCGCCTCCCGCGACCTCGACCTCATCGGCGGCCGGTGCCGCATCCCGAGGCGAGTCGAGACCTCGGTGGCGCATGTCACACCGCGGACCAGAGCTCGATCTGTACGTACCGCCGGAGAAGCGACAGAAAGGTGCAGACGAGGAGATGGCCGACGCGCTGTTCGACAGCAACCACCTGGTCGACCTCTTCAAGGACAAGCTGGACATCACCCTCGGCACCGACGAACAGCAGACCGTCTACTTTGAGTACTTGCAGGACGAGAACCCCACTCCAGACGGACGCCGAGGTTTGATGAACCACATCCTGGACAGCTTCGTCAACCAGCGCCGGAAGGACAAGGTGGAGCTGACCTGGTCCAAGATGAACGCCACCGAGCGTGAGGAGTTCGAGGCAGCCATCGCCAAGGAGACGAACAACTGGGTCCAGCACCAGGGACTCCGCGCTGTCCCGACATCTCGGGTCAAGGACGCGGCGGACGTCATCCGGGCAAGGTGGCTCTTCACCCGCAAGTCCGATGGGAAGGCGAAGGCCCGGCTCGTCCTCCTCGGCTACCAGACGAAGGACCTAGGACAAGAGCCGACCGCCAGCCCCACCGCGTCGCGGCGCGCCCGTCACGTGATGCTGACAGTGGCCGCCGCGAACCGCTGGAAGCTCATCAAGGGCGACGTCGCCTCCGCCTTTCTGCAGGCCCACGACCTCGACAAGGACCTCTTCATCGAGCCAGATGCCGTCCTCAGAAAGGCCTTCCACGTGCAGGAAGGGGAAATCCTCCAGGTCGTGAAGCCTGGATATGGGATCGGCGAGGCGCCCCGGCACTGGTGGGAGACGGTCAAGCACGACTTTGCGAATCTTCGACTCCAAGCCTGCGAGTTGGAGCCCTGTCTCTGGAAAGCACGATGTTCCAGGACGGGTATGCTCATCGGTATGACCATGGCCCACGTCGACGACTTCATCATGGCAGGGGATACCTCCCACCCTGAGTGGCAGGACATGGTCAAGCAGATCCGAGGGCTCTACGAGTGGGGCACCTGGGAGGACATGAATGACGGGCTCACCTCTCTCGAACAGTGCGGCGTCACCATCGAGGAGAGCGAGCAGGGCTTCTTCCTACACCAGAAGTCGTACATCGACAATATCAAAGAGGTCAAGGCGGCCAGCGGCAGTAAGCATCGGACCACCGACAGCCTCAAGGACTCTGACAAGACGGTGCTCAGGGCGTTCTGCGGCGAGATCTACTGGCTTGGCGTGAATACCATGCCATTTCTCTTATCGTGGGTAGCCGACCTCCAGATGAAGATACCAGCAGGTACTCACAACCTCTTCACGGCTGCTAACAACATCGTCAAGCTCGTCAAGCAGAGCCGCCACATGGGGATCAGGATCTACCGGCACGCCCTGGATGACCTCGCCATCTTCACCTGGTGCGACGCAGCCTGGGCCAGCCGCCCGGACGGACACTCTCAGGGTGGTCATATCACCGCTATATCCTCCAAGGCGGCCATGGACGGGAAGCTCTCCGAGTTCACGGTCCTCGACTGGGGCTCCAAGAAGCTGCGCCGCGTGGCTCGGTCAAGCCTGGCGGCGGAGGTGCAGGAAGCCGGCGACGCCGAAGGCGAACAGAGCATGGTGCGACTGGTACTCGCCGAACTTCTACACAATATGTCTCCACTGCAAGATACCGCAGCAGCACTGCGACGATTACCAGCCATCCTGGTGACGGACTGCAAGGCCTTCTACGATGGCGTGGTGCGATCTCAGTCGGCGGGACTGGGACTGGAAGAGCGGAGGACAGCCATCGAGGCTTTGGCTCTCCGCAATGCCTTGGACGAGGGTCAAACGGTCGTGCGTTGGGTTCACTCACACGCACAGATCGCCGACGGTCTAACCAAGGCAAGCTGGCAGGCATTCGGAGTGGTCCGGGCCTTCCTCGAGAAGCAGCAGTGGCGCCTTATCTACGACGAGCAGTTCATGAGCGCTCGCAAGCGGGCAGCTCTTGGCAAGGGCATCTTCGACGAGACGGACCCGACCGACCCGGCCTCAGCTCGTCAGGTACTCGAGGAGCGTAGGTTGGCACGCCAGGCACAACCACCAGCCAGCATGGAAGGGAACCCTTCCAGCCCGACGACATCTACTGGGTTCTCGGCCTCCGAATCCCTGATCATGATCCAGAAGTTGCAGCAGGAGATCGAGGACCATCAGAAGTTCGTCCAGCAGCACACACGGAGCGCAGAGATTGCCTGCGCGCACGGTACAGGGCAGAACCTTTTTCCCCCTGTCTGAAAGATACGCAGGAGCAAGCTTGAGCAGCAGCTGTCTCCTGCCCGTCTGCCCTGTCCGTGCCACCGCCACCCTCGGCTCAAGGCGAGGGAGGGCGGGACTCTTTCTGACAGAGCCTGGCCGTGCCAGGCAGACCGCGCAGACTACAGCGCGGCCGTTCATATCGTGGACAAAAGGTGTCCTCCGACAATTATCAATATAATTGACATCGACACATACTTTCTCTCGCTCTTCCTCACCGTCACCAGCGTGAACGATCGTGAGGACGAGCTCTCGTATTCAGACAGGGGGGGCCCTCGGCCTCGCGCAGAGGGGCGTAGGAGGAGGGGGGAAGGCTTCTTAGAAGCACCCCTGCTTCTCAGAAGGCGCTGGCCTTCTCTATAGACGTAAGGCCGTGGCCTTCTAAGAAGCAGGGGTGCTTCTAAGAAACCTTCCCCCCTCCTCCTACCCCCCTTTGCGCGCCGCTAAGCCCCAGAGACGGGGCGAGAGCGCTCCAAGAGGGCCTAAGGATGGCCGTGAGACGGCCGAAGAGGCCCCCCAGACGCTCCACGAGGCCTCCGAGAGGTCGCCCGAGAGGCAAGTCTCGTCACACTCCCTCGGGGAGATGTGCATGTTTAGCTTCTCTGCTTCTTTTGGTTTGGTCTTCGCAGCGTCTTCAACGGCCCAAGAGGCCCCCAGGATCTCCCCAAGACGGCACGAGAGGCCCCCAAAACAGCCCCAAGACGGCCCGGAGGCTTCCCAAGAGGGCTCCAAGACAGCCCAAGAGAGCCCCGCTCCAAGACGGCCCAAGAGAGGCCCCTGAAGGCCCCAACAGGTTCCCAAGAGAGCCCCAAGATGGCCGTAGGAAGTCTCCACCAGAGCCCCCAGTGACCCCGACAGGGCCCCAAGACGGCCCAAGCACCCCCAAGGCGGCCCAAGAGGGCCCCAGGACGACCCAAGAAGGCCCCTCAGACGGCCCAGAGGAGCCTCAAAAGGACCCTCAAGAAACCCAGAGAGGCCATATTCATTCATTTTCGCAAGGTTGGTTGTCAGTTTTTGTATGACATACACCCAGATGGCTCCAAAATGCTGAGCAAGCGATCTAACGCCCTCACAGAGTTCGAGCGTTTTCCGTCCCCGTGTCAAGCAGGTTTCATGGCCTTCGGCTCATCCCGCCACCATGCTTGGGCTGTGGTTCAGAGGCCTCGTGGATGCATCTGAGGGTCTTTTGGGATGCCGCTTGTGTGACTCTTGGATCTTTGGGGCTTTGGAGGGCCTCTCGGCGGCCTCACGGGGCGTCCTGGGGGCCGCTTGGGTGCCTCTTGGGCCTTCTTGGGGGTCCTCGGGAGCCTCTGCGGGGCTCTTCGGGCCATGTTGGGGCGGAAGGCTCGAAATGAAAGTTCATGCTCACCCTCTTGGGGCCCTCTTGGGTTTCTCTTGGGCCTTTTTTGGGGCATCCTGGGCCGTCTTGGGGCCCTCTTGGGGCGTCTTTGGGCCCTCCTAGGGCCCTCCTTGGGGCCTCCTGGGCAGTCCTGGGGTGCTATTGGTGGCTTGTTGGGCCGTTGTGAAGATTTAGAAGCTGGAAATGGCGAGACTGCTAACATCTTTCAATAACCTACGGGACCCTTGATGGTTCGGGCCTCTTGGGGCCCTCTCGTGGGGTGCCCTTGGGCCCCGTGGAGGCTTCCAGGGGGCCTCCTTCGCCGTCTTCGAGCCATCCTGAGGGTCTGGGGGCGATCCTGAGGCGAATCGAGTCTGGGGGCCCTCTTGGGGATGCTCTCGGACCCCCCTGGGAGCCTTTTGGGGGGCATCTTTGGCCGTCTTCAAGCCATCCTGAGGGTCTACGGGTGATCTGGGGGCGCCCTGGGAGCTTTCTCGGGCTGCCTCCGCGGCATCCTTGGCCCCTCCGCGGCACGTTTTCCTCGGGGCCCTCCTGGCCTGCAGCAGACGTGCGCGACACGCCCGCCCCACCCGCGGCTCCGCGAAATTCCCAGCCGCCCCCGGGAGCGCTCTGGCACCGAAGGTCTGGGCCCTCAGCATCTAGGAGAGTTTTTGTTTACCCTCTGGGCCACAAAAACTCGCGTTCTGCCTCGCCTCCTCCCCCTCCCATCGCGTGGCGCTCCCCCCCTCGGTGCGTCCCTGGCACTGCCGCAGTGCGTCTGGCACCACCGTCTGGGGGGGGGGGCGCTACGTTATGCTCCCTCCCGTCCCCCCCCCCTCCCCCCCCACAACGCCCGTTATGACCCCAGAAAAAGCATCGCTCTAGAACCCTGGCTGCAGCAGCAGCAGCAGCAGCAGCAGCAGCAGCACACTTGGTAGCCTTGGGGCACTCCACTTCGTGCCAAGGGCACGGTGGCGTTTTTTTTTTTTTTTTTTTTTTTTTTGTTTTTTTTTTTTGTGTGTGTGTGTGTGTAGAGTTTCTGGTCCTCCTGATCTGCAAGTGGGCATCTGTTCTCACTCCCGGCCCGCTTCAGAGACTCGCCGCTGATGGCATTGTCGGCGGGAGGATCGCGCCGCATCGCCGATGCATCGGCGATGCGGCTCGATGTGGAGCCCGATTTTCTCCACGCCGACGGCGCCGATGCTTTGCCGACGTCGCTGGCGCATCGCCTATGCATCGGCGGTGTGGTGCGATCCTCCTCACACCCTATCCACTTAAACCCCGTTTGGGAGGCCTCTAGGGTTGGGCGGCCAGACGAGTCGATCCTGATGCTCTCGGCGCTGGGGGAGGGGGGAAGGCTTCTTAGAAGCACCCCTGCTTCTTAGCAGGCGCGGGCCTTCTCCATACATGTGAGGCCCGCGCCTTCTAAGAAGCAGCCTCCCTCTAAGAAGCCTTCCCCCCTCTCCCTACCCCCCTCTGCACGCCGCTGACCAGGGCTGGGGTAAATCGTTCCAGATCTTCCCGGAACGCTCTCAGAGCGTTCTGGGGAGCTCTCGAACGGCCGCGGTGCTCGATGCCTCTTCCAGAACCGGCGGATATCTTAGAGATCCCCAGT